TAATGATTACGAGCCCAATGTAGTCCTCGCTTTTTCTCTTCCTGTTGTACTGTATGTAGTCTGTCCAGCATTGATGTAGGGGATTATCCGCTCCGTCTTAAGTCCACACGTGCGTCCCCTCTTGCTGCCCTCTCCCTCTTTCTGTTCCCATTTTGCAGCGTCTGTAGCCGGCCTGGGATATTTCCTCCTGCCCCCGTCTTAATCCTCCTTGTCTCCCCTCTTGGCCTTTGTTCTTGAACCTGGTGCCCCTTACTCCCTTCAACTCGGTTGCCCATCTGTTGCATGCTCGGCCTGAACTCTCCTGCCTGCCTCTGAATTGTGCCAGTCCTTCCAGTGAATTCGATCGTTTCGTAGCTCAGCCACCTTACCATCCACTAGCTACAGCTTGGTAAATTTTTTCTTAGCCTTTTCTCGCAGATCCACGTCTTCGGGCATCAACTGTTTTAGCTCCCGCCGTTTACACAGAATTTCCACCTGTAGCATGGTTCTTGTCTCCCCCCATACCTTCTCTCTTGGGTTGGATATGGTTCTGCAGCATCTTTCTTTCCAGATAGCCCATAATGTCACCTTCCTGATCATACCAAACCATAATCTTTCTGTCTTCCTGAGTTGGTCAGGAATGTTAGTCCAGAGAAGAATTTGGATGGGCTGTTCGGGGAAGGAAGTGTGGAAAAGGAGTCCCAGAGAGCTGAGGCCCGTACTCAGTAATCCGTCACCTCACTGCAGTGGATTAAGCAGTGTACCAGGTTTTCTTGTACCCCTTCTGTACAGATAGAGCTTAAGTTGGAGCTAGAGGGGTCGTTTCTGCGATGTCGTGTATGGAACGATTGATTTACTGGCAGCGCCATGTAAGCGATAAAGCCACCGAAGGCTTCCAATTTTAATCGGTCTGATAGTCTTAAATTCCTTCCACGGGATCTGTGTGATTTTGTCAGCTTCTTGGCCTATTTGTTTCTGCCATCTGGCTTTGATCACCGGATCTGGGTCTTTTGTTTTCAACAAGAGTTTGTGTCCCAGTTTGACTGTGTAGTTCTGTATGGGGACATGCGTCTTAATTTTTTTTCCTTATCCGGCTTCCATCCCCACTCTGCCGAGTCGAATTCCAGGTTGTGCACTGCCGTGTCCGGTCGGAAGATAGCCTTGGGCCATGAGCCTAAAACCCTAATTTTCCTAAGCAAGAAGAAATGCATAACTGTCGTTTCCACATCCATATTGAGTATCGCGGGCATGCCCTGCTTGGACTGAGAGATTAAGAAAGACGTAAAGATGGCTTTGGTGGTTGATCCCGGTTGTAAGTGCAAAAATTGGAAAGCGCGTGAAAGTGGAAGCTTTTGCGCTTTAACCCCCCATTCTCCACATTTCCAGGGCAACGCTTCCTTCAAAATATCTTTCCATTCTCGAGGGATGTGATTGATGATATACTGGAGGTTAGGCCCTCGTCTGGTGCAGCCCTTCAATCGTGCGCTCAGGTCGTGCTCAGTCACCCATTCTTTCTTATCTTCGTTCCACAAGTGGCTAACTGTCCATATACCGTTCTTCACCCATGACAGCCATTTGTGATCGAAGAACAGGGGACTGTCGCTTTCGTCTTTCAGCCACTCATTGCCGAACAGCCTCATCTCTGGATTTAAATCTGTTGGTCTTTTTTGGTAAAATTTCTCTCCAGATCCGGATCAGCGCCGACCAATACGGTACGGAGTGTCTATTTGTGCTCGATTCAGATTCCCTCCTTAGTCTTCTCCTTCCTATTTTCAAGTTCCATTCCTTGTTCATTAACCAAAACAGGACGGTCATATTTTCTGGCGACGCCACTGGAGCCAAGGCTCTTATGCTGTCTAGCGCCAGTTTGTTCCACGCCGTGTCTGGTTTCATCAAGAGTTTGACTATCCATTTGGCTTGGAGGGCCTTTGTCTCACATTTGTGGTCTATACTCCCTAGGGCCCCATGGAACGGCTTCCTAGTGATGTATTGCCATGCGATCTTGGGGATGCACCCCTTTTTGTTGGGATTACCTGTCCATAAGTAAGTCCTGGCTATGCGTTTGAGCTCCTTTATTGAGTTATCCGGAATTGTCCATATCGAGGCTATATACCACATCATGGAAAACACAGACGTGTTGAGCACCAGGGCCCAGCAACGTGAATGTGTTCCCCCATCTCCCTAGCTTATTTATCTGTTTGGCTAGCATGTTATGGGCCATCTGGGGCGCCAGACCCTCCCTAGTCACAAGGATACCTAGGTATCGAGTAGGGTTATCCGGCGTTTCCCATGTCATGGTGGCCTCTGACCCTTGCAGATGAGGAAGGTCCTCATCGGAAAGCCACCGCCCTATGGTCTTTTTTCAATTAATCCTCATTTTTTATGCCAATCTGAAGGCTTCCACTGCCTTCGCCAATGTCTTAAACAAGGAATCAGAGGCTCTAATCAAAACCGTCAGGTCATCTGCAAACATGATCACTGTCGGGAACTTCATGTGATGTGCCGACCCCACATTAACCTCTGGAAGCCTATGAATGGAGGGGTCTTTTTGTAGGAATGAAGCAATGGCTTCCATTACAAAAAGAAAGATTGAGGGGGCGAGCGGGTCCCCCTGCCGGACTGAGCGGGAGATTGGGTAGCTTTCCGACAATAACCCATTTACCTGTACACAGCCTGTGGCATCGTTGTACAGGATTCTAATCCATTTCCTAAAGCTAGGTCCCAGCCCCATTCGCTCCATACTTGCATCCATGAAGGACCAATTGACTTGGTCATAAGCCTTCTCGAAGTCAAAGAAAAGTATCGCAGTGTTTATCCTCCTTTCGCTGACTTTGTTTGTTGCTTCATTTAGGGTCAATACATTATCCAATATGTAACGCCTGGTCAGTGTGGAAGCATTTATCTGTCAAGTTCGTGATTCTGGTGGCAAGGGTTTTTGGCTAGGATTTTATAGGGGAGCGTTAGTAATGAGATTGGTCTGTAGTTCCTGATGTCTTCTTTGTCTTCCTTTTTGTACAACAGTGTGACGACACTGCTATTCAAGAAAATGCCCAAACCCCCTTGTCATAGCTATCCTTGTAGAAGTTCATCAAGTCCCCCCCTAAGAGTGGCCATAATTTTTCCCAGAATTCCTTTGTTAACTCGTCGATCCCCGGTGACTTGTCATTGTTCATGCTCTTGAGGGCTTGAAAAAGTTCGTCCAACGTTCAAGGCTTATCTAAGGCTTCCGCTTGCTCTGTTGATATCRTTTGTTCCAGATACTGCAGCATTCTTTGTCTTGCTTCTTTTATGCCATGTGGAGTAGGTGTTTGGGTTTTGGTCTGGTACAAATCTTGGTRAAAGTCTTTTGCTATTCCCAGCACCCCCTCGTTTGTAGCCACTGTGACTTCCGGATCGCTAAGAGTTTTCAGTTTTTCTATTGTGGTCACTCTCAAGCTGGCTTTGATGCGGGCGAAGAAGTGTTTCGACATTGATTCACTAAGTTCATATTCATTCATTCTGGCTTTTATTTGCAAGCCTTTTAAATCCCACCACCTCCACATAGCTAACTCTTCCCGTGCTTTCTCGAATATACCAGCGTACAATGCGGAGGCCGGGTTGTCGCTGAGATTGGACTCTGCAATCTTTAGCGCATATTCCAGATTTTGTCTCCTTTGTTTTCTTATGGAAGCTAGTTTCCTTGATATCCCTGCCGCTGTCTTCGAGAGGGTAGAGTAACTTTTCTTGAACCACTCCCCTCGATCATGAGTGGGTAGACGGGTGCGTCTCTGCTCCTGCCAGCAGTCTTGTATCCCTTCCTGGAAGGCCTGGCTTAGCAGAGGGAGTTATTTAATTTGTGGAAGCTGGCCCCTTTTCTCACGCACTGTTCAAAGCTGGTCCAGGCTTGGGTATGGAGCTAGAGGTAAGATCTCTGCCTTCTTCACCGCCCCCATCATTGTCTCAGATACCAGGAAGTATATGATGAGCATGATTCTTTTTTACTAACGAGGAGGATCTCGA